TAGGAATCGTTACAGCTTCAGCTGATAATCAGTTATCACCTATTTCTAAGTAAGCCACAAAGTCTCTCTTGATTCATAGAGCTTAATTCTATTTTTGTGAGGATTGATGTTTGATTATATCACGCTCATTATGATGCTCTCATGTGTTAGGTATTATTGGTTAAGGATCTTGCACTATTGTTGGAGCAAGTCGATTCGGAGATTCCAGATGGGTCGCTGAAAGATTGCAAGAGTCTGCAAAATCTTTCTCTGCATAACAATCCCATTTCAGTTAATGAGTTTCAGCTGGTAAGTTGTTTTATTCTGAAACCTCAAAGAACAAGCTTGTGATTGTGCTGTTGTGTGTAACATAACAATGGTATAAATGTATATGGATGGAAGGGCTGGACCTTGAAGACTGTACTGAAAAAGAGCCTCTTGGTCATGGGTTCTATGCAGACTTCACTATAGAAACAAGGACAACAATACCACATTTCATCACCTAGTTTATCTGTTGTATTTTGCAATGAGTTCATGTGTTTCATGTATTGATTTTATGTGTTTTGAATCTTTTTTGAAAAGCATAAGGTATTTTATGATTTACTGTGTTTATTAGAGTAAATTTTATTTATTAATCTTATTGTAATACATATTATAATTTTTTCAGTTCTATTAATATATTTAGGGATATATAATTTTAACACAGTGACTACCTAGACTTATTTTTAACCCCTAATCCCTAAATACATTTTAACACCTAAACCCTAAATAATCCTAAAATATAAATTTTAAACTTATAAACTTTATATAAAAATAAAGTTCGATATAATCTCAAATTCAAAATATAAACCTCAAACACTAAATCTAAATCTACACTCTAAATCAAATACCCTAAACCCCAAACTTAACCCTACATACCTCATATTGACCTATATTCACATAAACCATTAAATTTTAATTTTTAATAAATAATACAATTTGAAAATTTAAATACAAAATACAGATTAAAATTTTAAAATTATGATACCAAATTATGTAAACCTCAAACACTTTTGTTCAAAAAAAAACCTCAAACAATTAATTTTAAATCTACACCCTAAATCTAATACCCTAAACCCTAAACTTAAACCCTACTTACTAAGTCATAAATCTAATCTTTTCAAATTATGTAAACCTCAAACACTTTTGTTCAAAAAAGAAAACCTCAAATAATTAATCTTAAATATACATCCTAAATCTAATAGCCTAAACCTTAAACTTAAACCCTACTTACAAAGTCATAAATCTAATCTTTTCAAACTTATAATATAAATTTTAACTTAAACTCCAAATCTAAAACTTCAATCTTAAACTTAAACTCATAATTTAATAATTTTTAAAAATTCATAATCTAAAACTTCAATCTTAAACTTAAACTTCAAATCATTTATCCTAACCCTAAATATAAATGTTAACACTATTTTTCTTAACCCCAAATACTATTTTCAAACATTTAATATCATTTATATATAAATTTTAAATTATAATTTCAAATTATTCAAAGTTTCAATAATTTTATGATTATTATAAATAGAAAAAAAGATAATTCATATTTTTTTGAGCCATTGATTGATTCAAAATCAAACGCCCAAAATCAATATTTTATATATCCTCGTCCTTGTTTTTTATTGGTTAGGCGTGGATCACCCTTTTGCACCATTGGAAGAAATTAAATCAACGACTGAGATTAATTGTTCATTTTTCTCTTTTTAAAAAGAAATATTTTCTGAGAGAGAGAGAGAGGAGACCTGGAGAATAGGGAAGAGATGGAGTTCGACCAATGTTTTAATAACTTTACTTCAAATTATTCTACTTTGCTTATAATTTTATGGAGGGATAAGCTGAAAGCTTTGAACTTTGCTACAGCTACGTAAGAAAAGATGAGTCTCTAAACATTCTGGAGGGATAAGACGAATCTCTAAACATTTTATGGAGGGATAAGACGAATCTCTAAACATTCTGATTGGAGAAGATGGTAAGTAGATTGCTGGGCTTTTACTTTGTCTTGTGTTCTTCGTACTGTGTTGATTTGTGTAACTTCAAATTTTGTTTCTTTACCATTTGTTTTGCGTTTTGTAGCTTCCTATTTCGCTACTCATGACTGCTCAAGGACATCCCATGGTAAGTGAAACTTCGACTCTTCTCAGGTTGTCACTTCTTACTTTCATGACCACAAATGCATTGTCTCGACTCTTCTGCTGTTCTTCATAATATTCTTATTTACTTTTATGTTCGTTCTTGAAGTGACCTCAATACATTGTGATTTGTGATTTGTAGTGACCACACGTAATGTGTTCTTGGTTTAATGTCTGTGCAAGATTTGTTGTACTCATATTAAAACTCTTTCATGGTCATATTAACACTTTATGATGTCTGATTTTAACCTTTGTTGTGTGCAGGGAATCATCTACGCAGGATTGGAACATAAACCAGGAGTTGAGTAGAGGAGATCTCTCGAACTCGCCTCTGTCTAGACTCGCACGAATATTGCAGTCTCTCACTGGAATGCCAAGTGCAGCCTTTGAAGGTATTGTGGCAAATTGTGTTTAAGTATGGGTGTTGAGATAAGTTATCTTGTTAGTTAATCTTGTACTGATTCATTCCAATCTTAAGTATGGGTGTATGTCCTCAAATCATTGTATTTAGCAACACTTGTTTTGTGTGCTTTTCAGATACTGCGGAAGCTTGATGAAGGTGAAAGCTTGATGAAGGTGGAGGAGGCATAAAGACTTTGAGGAAGGTGGAAGAGACAGATGAACCTTAATAAAGGTTAAAGAGAAACAAGGGGCTTGAGGAAGACGGCGGCTTAGTTTAGTGTTAAATAGGTTTTTGTTTAATGTGTTTGAATTAGTTTTTGTTTTCTATGTACTAGTTTAGTTTTGTAAAATTGATTTTATTTGTCAATTGATTTTAATTTATTTTCAAAATAAAAATATTAAATTAAATTTGCACAAATGAAATGAAACAATTACAATTTAAAAATGCAATGAAAAATTCAAATATTTCTATTGATAGAAAACTACAATAGTAGTTAAAACATGCTATAGTAAAATTTAAAAACTGCTATAGTAAAAATATTATAATAACATTTTAGAGACAATATTAAAAAATTACAATTGCATAAACGAAACCGCTATTACTAAAATAATATCAATAGCGGATAAGAAAACCGCTATCCAATGGACCAGACCTATTATCACGGGCGATATTGGAGCGCTTTCTACAACGCTATGGTATCGTATGATAGCGCCTAACTGGTGCTATTAAAACCCTTATTTCTTGTAGTGTTGTGTACACTGTAAAAACTAATGATCTTTTTATTTTACAATTTTTAAAGATATATATATTTTAATAATATGTAAATGAATAGTTCTATGAATTATTATAGTCCCAATTTTACTAATTTATAGAGTTTTTACTATATATATATATATGTATATATATCGATATCCTTTTCAAGATGGAGATCCCAAAGTAAGTCCAATCTTAGCTTCCACATTTTCAAATCTTGTCTGTGATAGTGGGTTCACTAAGAAATCAACGAGCTGATCATGAACGCACATGAGAACAGAAGAAATTCATTATGTACAAGTCCTCGATGAACTGATAATTGTGTAACGCCCCGGCTATCTATGGTTAATAGGTCATCCACGTCCATTCTCTCACGCCCGTTCTCTTGGCCTATGGGCTCTCTGCTCTTCATGTCTAACGAGCAGTGTGTTAGTTATTTCAAGGTTCGAAAGTCATGCTTACTGACCATGCAATCACCACATTATCTTTTCTCATTGCTTTGGCCTTATTCGTGTGGTATCGCGGATCACTTCCCTATAGGTCACCCATCCTTTGACTACTCCAGCTCAAACATGCTTATATCTGGAGTTCTCTCTAAATGTGCTCCCAAAAAGGTAAGTATATTTTGGTGACATAAGTACCTAAATCAATTCTCTTAAATTTGTCCATACCACAAATCAGGATGTTTTAATTTACACCCTCTCAAAGAACGCAACGTCCTCATCGCGCTCCAGGATCGTTATCCATGTTAATGTGAGTCCTCACCGACTCCACACTCGTTTGGTTTCGACTTTGATATCACTTGTAACTCCACGTACGTCCACGACTAATGGGCCATCCACGCGTACTCTCTTGTCCGTGGGCCCAATCCTGCTGACAAACAGTGCATTAATTTTTCCAAGGCTTGAAAGTCATGTTTAATGACCCTGTAATCACCAAATGAGATTTTCCCGTGGTCTCACTCGCATGGTATCACAAATCATTTTTCGATAGATTACCTATCATTTGACTACTCATTCTCAAACATACTTAATTCTGAAGTTTTCTCTTAATGTACTCCGAAAAGACAAGTGTTCTTTGGTGATATAGTTAGACAAATCAATTATGTTAAGCATGTCCATATATCACAAACTAAGATGTTACAAATTGAGTGCAACATGTTTCAGAGTATGGAAAAACAAGGTTGACATAAGTCTGAGTCTTACCAATATTATCACAAAAGTTCGCGGGAGTCCCTTGTCACAAAACTTTGTTTTAATTTTTTTATATTTTAGAAAAGTGGGATAGTAAATATTTAGATGCAGGCTTGTCTCAGGTAACTCTTAGACATGTAGATAGTGGACAAGACAAGGTCCACTTAATACATCAAAAAATAGCGGTCTGAAAAACAAGTAAAGAACGATGGAAGGAACAACAAGATTAGCCAATGAGTGGTTGATTTTGTCGAAGCCAGTTAAGGCAGGTGGTCACTGGAGGTTTTGGAGTCCAGGTTCAAATCATCAACTGCCAGAAATATATCTTTGAACCAGATAACATATATGGTCATTTGGGTATAGGTCAATGGTTATGTTGGTCAACAGTAACAGCTGATGGGTTGGTTGGAACCTCCAGATTTTAAAGTGTGAGGATCACAGTTCTCTGGTACATGGATCGTATTGTTGATCCTAGTGGGTTTGGTTAATAGTCCAAACTTACCAAGATTCGGTAAGTTTTGGTCTTGGTGGTTTGTCGTTGTCGTCCTTGATCTTTTGAGTTGAGGATGATGCGGTATAGATCTTTCTATCATCATCGACCAACTTCGCCATTAACTGGTTCATGGTCTTTCTTAAGCTCCTTCCTGCCTGGTTCCTCTTCATTGGCTGATTCGGTATGATGGGCACGATCGGTTCTGCCTTGTTGTCGACTTGTCCGGAACTTGGGATGGCATCACCAAGCACTGCAAAATAAATGCACAAAAATAACAACAGATAATATTATATTCAGGAATTTTTTTTTTCCTTCAACAAACATTATATTTATATTACCAGGTCTCTGATTCTCATACTCAAAGTCTTTTTCTCTTTCTCCTTCAATGTTATCACCAAACTCATCACCATCTATCTTCTCCATAACGTTACTTCTAAAACACTTCCTAAATCTGAAATTCTTCCACCTAAAATACCATTTACTCCCACCAGTATAACCGATACTACTCCTACCACCTATCTTCTCTTTCTTTAACTGCCGTCGCATCGCTTCATTCTCTATCTGCAGCTTCTCCATGCCTTCTCTCAATCTCCTAATCTCTGCTTGTTGAATATTCATGTCACGTTTGGACATGCGCCAACCAGGACTAGGCTCTGAGACTTGTGAACAAGAAGGGTTTCGACTTAATGATGAGACATTATAATCAATGTCGTTATTGTGGCGGCCATGACTCAACTTTATCTGTTCACTGAACAAAATTTGGATAATAGTCCGCATTGGTAAGCGAGGGTTTTCTGCAGCGTGAAGAGACGCCTCCTTTGATAACTTCTTGATGCCTATTAGCCCACAAAGTCTCCTCCTTTCTTGCTTCGTCATATTAGGATGTGCCTAATACCAATGATATAAATAAAGTTTTGAATATTTATGCTATGAGCAGACTTTTAACTGAGAAAGATTATATAAAAGATATAAGCTAAGCTTCCACTTAACTCTAAACTCTCTTAGAGATTAAATTTGGTTCTTGGAAATTGGTTTATTATTAATCATAAAAGCATTAATATAGATATACAACTTACGGCCTGATTGGTTACAACGCAGCGATTGCGGTTGCGGTTGCGGACATTTGTGGATGCGGGAGATTGCGGTTTTAAGCGTTATTAAGAGATTTATACGAGTGGTTCAACGGTTAAAAATTGTTGTGTTTGCGGGATACTTATGACTGGTTTATCATCAAATACAATAACAGCTGAGTAATAAATTAACAATATTTATATTTTATATAATTATAAAAATATTAAAATCATATTTTCATGATAAATATAAAATTTTTATTGAAAAATGCACTATTAAATTTTTAAAAAAATTAAAGAAATTTTTTTTTACAAATTTTATAATATAAATATTTCAGTATTTCAATTCTTTTTATTTAAAATTTTAATTGAATATCTTATTTTTATATTTATATAGTTTTCTGGAAAAAAATATTTTTTATCCTCCCACAATCGCCGGTAACCGCAAACGTTAGCTGTAACCAGCTTTTGAATTTAGAGATTCAGAACGATTTGAATCGGTTTATAGCGTTTTCTGTGATTGTTGCAAAACGCCAACAACCGCTATCAACCGCAAAAGCTGGGTGATGGCGGTATATTATTAATCATAAAAGCATTAATATAGATATACAACTTAAAAGAAAAATGAAAACACTGAAATATAATATAAAAATTAAAACATAAAACCAAATAATTAAGAGGCAAATCAAAACTCTAGAGTATAAATATCTTAATCAATCATAACTCATAAAGTAAAATACTAAAACTTATTGACTAAATTTTCCTAATTGTACCCCCAAGACAACTCCAATAGGGTGAACTCAGGATTTTGATCATGTATATCTCGTGCCTGTGTTTCTTTATAATATTGATGCATCTTTTTTTGTTTAAATCGATTAATTGAAGCAATAGATCCTGACGAAATCCTTATTCCTAAAGTAAAAATACTAAAACTTAACTAAATTGTTCTAACTTATCCATAACCACGTACCAGTTTCAAGTCTCAACCATCTGACCCCCTTATAAGTTTTTTTAAACATTATTTTACCTTTAGATAAGTGTCCATTGCATGGTATAGGCCATCTTCTGTCACACGAGAATGGCTAGGGAGAGCTTTTACCAGGGAAATAAACTCGATGAGGCTTAAATTGTTGTCTATGGCAGCTTCCGCGAGGTAAGAGTCTACGAGCTTCGCCACTTTAACGAGAGAAGCACCGCTTTTGAATCCTTCATGGTATAATCTTGCAAAGTTCGTGACCACTCGAGTCACTAGCTCTACGTCGAACAATGCACCACAAGTGTGACTGAAAGAAGGTATCATTAGCTCCGTGAGGGAAGCTTGTTCTAGCTGCCATGATATCCTCACCTCGAGCTCGGCCTTGTAGTCCGGGTGTGCTTTGACCATGTTCGCGGTTTTGAGTAGACGAAGGAGGAAGTTACATGAAACGGAGTCTTTCTCCGGCGGAAGGATTCCGATTAGGGTTTCGACCAAGTAACGTTTTTTCATCACGTAAGCTGTTACGCTATACGATTGTTGCTGATGGTTTCTAACAACGCCGTGGGAGAGGTCAGGGAGCCGCGTGGAAGCATAGTGAGCGATAGTGGAGCCAATGTGGTCGGGACGAGCGCCTTTGGCTTTGATTGTGGCGATGGTTTTAACGAAACAATCCACGTCGCGAATAAAACCATCGTCCTCGAACCTAAAAGCTTTTGACGGAGATTTGCCCGAAGTGAAGGCAGATACCGGCAAAGATGCTTTCGTCATCTTTTTATTTGGGTTTGACGGTGGAGGTTGCAATGTGTGTACAGTGGATAGTTATATTTAGTGGAGGAACCAGAAATGTTTTGTACTGAGGTCAAAAAAAAAAATAGTAGGAATACATTTTTATTTTAGTGGGATCAATATAATTTCTCTTAAATAAAAATAGATATTTTATATTTTTTTCTTAGGTAAAAACAAATATTTTCAAAAGAATAGTGGATTAGTTGACCCCACTCTTCCCCAATTGTCTCCACCCTTGGTTATATACTAAATTTGTAAGAAAGCTATCCTTAAAAAGTATTTTTTTTCATTTCCTTTTAAGGCTAATATTTGGAAAGAATAAGTTTTCTTATTTTATGTCCTTTAAAATATCGTGCTAGAGTAAATCCTATCACCTCTCTCAATAAGAATTTCTCTTGCTTCTGTCCGATCTCCGGTTCCGGCTGCTCTTATAGAGTTGTAGTCGGGCTTTCTTTCTCTTATTTCATTTGTTTTTTTTGGCGAAGAACCTTATATTTAACTCTTTTTACTCAACAATGTGTTAATTCTGTAGATCTTGTTCTAGTATCGATTTTTTCCCAAAGGGATTGTGAGATTTTATTTTCGTTAATAAATTACAGATATTTATATACCTATAATAACATACTATGTCAAAAAGTTAATTTCTATATGTTTATATAACATGTTTTTTTTGTCTGTTGTCCATCTAAACTATATCAATTGGTAGTTAGACGAGTCACTTTTCCGACAAGCACTTCTGTCTGTCCAAATTTGATCTATATGAGAAAATTATATCCTCTAGTACTTATTTCTTTTACTAACGTGTCTGTCTGACTATTCCTACTTCAAAGAATATAAGACCTGCTCACCTCCTCATGTAATCTATGGAAACAAATTTATATATTGGAAACAAGTGAAAATAATTACTGATCCATATATATATTATAATATTTCTTCAAATTAACATGATAATTATATCATTATATTTTTAAATTTTAGACTAATGTATTTATATTTGTTTAATGTCAATTTATTGGGTTATTTGGAAATTTTATTCAAAATTTTCTAATTTGTTATTGTCAATAGAGTTGATAAACTAACGATTGAGTACAATGTAAGAAATGCTAAATTATAATAAACTAAATCAATAATTCTTTTTGTAAAAAATATTGAAATTTAGCAAATTTTCCACAACACACAATTCTAATTTTTATTAAAATAATTTCCATAAGGGTTTACACTTTTGTATAGGACCATTGTCCTCGAACCAAAAAGATTCCATACCTCCGGCAGCTTTTGACGGCGATTTTCCGGAGGTTATGGTAGATACGCCCAAAGATGTCCTCGTCATCCTTTTGGGTTTCACTGTAGAGGTTGCGATTTGAGTAAACTGTAATAAGTTTGCCGCAGGTAATGGTAGCTACCGGTAAACGTGTTCTCGTCATCCCTCATTCAACAGTTGTTTCCAATGGAAAGAATAAACTCTTGTCATTACCTGTAAAAAACAACATCGGAAAAAAACAAGTTTCTTTTTTGGTATGATGATATGCAAACAAACACAATTGATTCAAAAAGCTTTGAGGTTTTCAGGCCTTAGACGTACCTATAGAGCTACAGTTGATTCATTAATTACTTGACAAAAATATAAGAAAACAAACGAAGTTAGAAAAATATCTAGATATTTAAATTGTTTGTATAAATAATTATATCACAATTCACAAGGGTTTTCACACTTTTGTATAAGGTTACTTGGCACTTACCAAAAAAAATCCTAAATTTATTATCTTTACTTCACTTAATAAATTACAGAGTGTCAATAATGTATCTGCTACATAAAGACTTACGATATTATGTGGGGTTTAGGACAAACAACCCTACCTTTACCACTCTCACACCTGGACCAATCTACTTTTATATTTAAAGCAGAGAAGGTTTTTATGCCCATATATAAGCATAAATACAAAAGGGAAAAAAAATCTTGACATAACAGAATCAACAGCAACTCAATCTAATTAACACACCCTCAAACATTATAGGGAAATTAGGGAGAAATACAATTAAACAAATTTTTAATTTGAAAATTACATCACTATTTAAGTTTGTTTGAAAATACACTTTTGTATATATAAACTTACTAAATTGTCCAATTTGATATTTCTCAATTATTTTTCATCATGATTTATCAACAAAAAAAAATCTTAGGAATATCTGCAAAAGATTGTTTTTAATACATCTTAAACTTTTTTTTTGGAAAAAAAAACAATTAGAAGGACGTCTATTTTCCTTCAGATATTATCCTCATTTTTGCAAAAACATTTTCCCCCTAGTTTCCATAGGTTATTCTTCCTCTCACTTTGGTGTTCAAAAAAAGAAAAAAAAATCTTCCTCTCACTTAGAGGTTTGTTAATGGAAAGTTAGCTCAAAAAGCATGGATTTTAGAATTTATATTGAAAACCATACAAAACTTTTTTTTATTATTATCATTTTTTAATATCCAGCGTGCTTTTTTTTACGTTGTAAAAGAAAATCGTAATTATAGGAATGCCATTTCGTTTAGTGCCACGTAGGTAAAAACTCGGCTCCACGTCAGAATGCGGCACAAAACTCAATCGTAATGCGATACGAACTTCGTTACCGCCGAGTTATAGTTACGATGCGGCTGATTTAAAGAAATCAGTTGACTTATGAGACATAAGCTGAGTTATGAACATAACTCAGCCACCCATGACGGCTGACTTAAAAAATTCAGGCTGATTTATGTGATAACGGCTGAGTTATGCTCACATGTTATGACTGACTTAGACATCGGCATGTTGATTTCTGAAAAATCGGGTTGAGTTCTAGTTAGGATACGGCTAAATTAACTATCGCGACTGGTTAAATGATCGTTGACAGGCTGAGTTATGAGAGGTTACTGCGGCTGAGTTATATTTAATCAGCTGTAATAACATGGATTAAGTAAACTCAGCTTAGTTACGGCTGACTTATTAACAAAAGATTAATTACTATATTAGCATTCATTTGTCGGCTGATTTATAAGACGACAGTTGACTTATTAGCGAACATCTTTATTACGACTGATTTATTAGCAAAAGATTAATTACTAGAATATTATTAATGTATCGACTGACTTACCATGTACTTGGTGGCTGACTTAAGTGTTCGTTTAGTGGCCGACTTACCAATTTTCCATGTCATCATCCATGTCAACTTTTATTTGCCATGTCATTACAACTGTTAAATTAGGGTTTATGTTACAGACGCTGCTCTCTATTCTTCATCTTCTTCTCTTTCTTTCAAATCTTATGGATCTGGTAATTATTGTTTCAGGTAACTGGATTAAGAAAAACATATATGTATTCCAGCCTGATAGCAGAGGGTGTATAGTTCTGCATGCAGATGAGAAAACAACAGTCGACGAACTCGCAAAGTCAGTACTCGATGATTACAGTTTGAATGAGTGGAGTCATCAGATTCAGCTTAGCTACATGTTCTCGAATAAAGCTTTGGAAAAAATGGCGCAAGACACGCCACCAGTATAAATTTCCAATACTAGACAATTGCAAAATTTTTTAAGCCTAAAGAAGATTGAAAAATGACGTCTCTGTGTTGAGATTACGGAGAAGGAGGATGGTGAAATCAACCGGAGGGACGGAGCGAGAGAGAAGAGTAAAAGATTATACAGTTCAGAAGCAGAAGCCTCAGAAATTGAATCTAGATACGAAGATTACGAAGAGGGTTACGATGGTTTAAGTTTGGAGGAGGAACACGACGACAATGAGAATAACTTCTCTAGTATCTTGGACGGAGAAAAACAGAAAGATGTTGGAGAAGATGAAGAAAGCGAAGAAGACGATGAATTTGATAGCCGATTTGATATGTTCGACAACTCAGATTGTGCGTCATCCGAAGATGATAACTTCAGCTCATACGGTGAGTCTCCAGCAAAAGACGAAGATTCACCGACACTACCGCCTAGAAAGAGATCTCAAAACTTGTGGATGGGCGGATCTAAAGGGGATTCGGAGGTTCTAAGGTTAGAGGTGTCTTCGCTAAACCTTGCTGTAGGGCAACAATACGAGAGTAAAGCCGAGTTGGAAAGACAACTGAAACTTTTTTCAGTGAAAGATCGATTTTATTTTGATGTGGAAGTATCCAATTCAGATTTAGTCATTGTTAAATGTTGGGCTGGTGGATGTCTCTGGAGAGTTCGAGCTTTAACAAAAGGGGATTCTCCTACATTCTATGTTCGTATTTACGATTCGGAACATACATGTTTTGTAACTGAGCATTCTAATCTATGTCGACAAGCAACACTAGATATTTTAGGGTAATTGTACAGGGACTATCTCGGCGACATTGGTCCAGCCTTTCGACCTACGATTGTTGGAATAGCTCTCAATAAGCAGTTTGGTCTCAAGGTAATTATTTTACTAAGACTGAATTATATCAACGATACGGCTGAGTTATATCTTCACTTTTTGGCTGACTTATTACATGTCCGGCTGAGTTAGTTAAGCTATATGATTTATTGGGCTGAGTTATTTATACATTTTGGCTGAGTTAATTAAGTTATTAGGTTGGGATGAGTTATTATACATTTTGGCTGAGTTACTTGTAGGTTGGACTGAGTTATTTCTACGTTTCGGCTGAGTTACGTTTAGGTTGGGCTGAGTTATGTATACGTTTCGGCTGAGTTAGTTAAGTTATTAGGCTGAATTATTTATACGTTGCGACTTACCTTATTTGTATTCATTTGGACAGATGTCTTACTGAAAATCATATAAGACACTGAAATCTAAAGGGAAATCGATGAGGGAACACCTGAGAGTGGGTTTGAAAACTTCCCTTCTTACTTATACATGATAAGAAGTGAAAATCCTGATACAGTAACGCATCTTCAAATCGATGAGTTTGGAAGATTCATGTATGTGTTCCTTGCGTTTGGTGCGAGCATTAATGGGTTTCCTTTCATGCACAAAGTTGTGGTTGTCGACGGTACA